TATATATATATATATATATATATATATATGAGCGAAAATATTAAAAACCAAAGTGTTGTTTAAAAATTTGTTTAAACGCACGATTAATTCTACGTTTTCATATTTATGATTCGGATCGTCTCGAAACGCATAATCACCGGTATTCACAAATAATAATAATTCGCAACTCGCCTAACGTTGTGCATTGTACGTTTGTCGTCTGCTTCTAGGTTGTTTGAGGACAACGCGGAATTGTTAAACATGTTCACAAAGTTTCGGGATATGAAGACGAAGGAACAACAGTCGTCGAGCATGGAATTGGCTGAGCACGCGAAGACGGTCATGTCCACTCTTGACGAAGGGATTAAGAGCCTGGATGACATGGACACGTTTCTGGCGTATCTCCATGAGGTCGGGGCTTCCCACACGAAGATCCCCGGTTTCAATCGGCAATATTTTTGGGTAAGCCCATTCAAGAAGAGTCGCAAAATTCTCTTGCTCCGTATAATATTCACCAATGTCGCACTAATGACATAAAACCAACATACATTACATAATGGTTAGACACCACAACACATTACTAAATAGTTAAACATGTTACAGCGGTTTACCAATAATGAAAAAACGACTGTATATAAAATACATCCTAATGTATATTAAACACTTCAAGGATGGATTCAGTATTTAAAAATCACAAAATAATTTCTTATAAATATGTATATATCGTATTCGATTTTGTCCTTCTAATTACAGCTTTACGCTTCAATAATTTTTTTCTAACAGCTAAAATACAGCTAAAGTAATTTATTTTACCCTGAATTGCTTAACATCAATTTTTCGGAGTAACGCCCGGATACATATCGAAAGAATATAGTGAAAAAGAAAGAAGATCGAAAGCGAAACGTTACGTATGCACAAAGAAGAGTTATATGCGCTCGTGAAATTTTCTTTTACCGCAAAGGAAAAGATAGGTACTAAACCGCGAGCACTGCCTCAGACATCGGGCTATCGGTAGCTTACCCCGCGATACACTAGAAAACGCGAGGAAATTCTCGCTCGCCGAGAAACGACGGGTTCCGCAGCCGACTCGCATGTCTCTTAGGTGAACATTTCCCCTTTGTAACGCGCTTATCTCTCGCGACGTGTAAATCAAGGAGAGTAAAGTGTAAACTTTCGTAAGGTATTGTGAATACTGTTTTCAGGACCTGCCTCGAGCAGGAAATTCATGCACGATTAAGAGTAAAATGACGCTCGATGTAATATTTGTTACGCAAACTTTCGCTACGCTGCTTATATCATTATAATATGAATGAGCTTTCGATCCTCTTCATCGCGCGATTAGGTGGTTTAATTAACTAATAATTAATCACATGAGATCATTATGACTTCATTATACTATCGAGCTATATTGCAACCGTTAAATTTAAAAAGTAATAATCTCGTGTAACGATTAATTGATTCACCTGTCACCGAGTTAATCGCTTAGGAAAAAGAATATCTGTTACAACTTTGTTCTTGTTAGATGTTGTAAGTTTGTTTAGTTCTTGTCAGAACGCTGAGTCGCCACGAAATTCACACGACTGATCGGAGATTAAGAGCGTGGACCACTTTGTACACGGAGAAAATAAATTTTGCTGGAACAGCAAATTATTTGTTAATATAATGGCAGTAAAAAAACTTGTCACAAGGAAAAAATAATTTTGCTGTTGCAGCAAAACGTCGTTGCGGCAGCAATAAAATTTAATTGGCGTAATCATATTATTTTGCTGTCCATATATCCAGCAAACAGTAATTAACACTTTTAACAAAACTTTGTCAAATCTTTCTACTGTCCAAACAAATTTTTTTGCTGTCACTATATTAACAAACAATTCGCTGTTCTAGCAAAATTTCTTCTTTCGTGTAGAATTTCCCGACATTCTCCCGACATTTTACCGTCTATGTTACATTTCTTCGTGAAATTCACGCCGTTTTCTTGGCGAAGAAGAAAATTTCGCAGCATGACGGGTTGAATAACAAATGTCGAGACTTCACCTCGGAACACTGGTATTTCGTTTTCCCACGGTCTTTCATAATCCGCCGCACAGCTGGTACCCGCCCGGCTATTTGCCCGCCCGCGTGACGGCCCTGTACGGCGTTAAATAAAAAGCGATTATTTTTTTTTTAAACGTCTTGCATGCGGCGATTCGGAAGTAGCTGATAATACGAACTATTCTATTCATTAAATGCATTTATAAACGCTATTATGAAGAATAACTGTTTTAAATCTGTGCGTCTTATAACGTCGCGCATTTCATTCGACGAATCATTCTGAATCATTCAACAAACCGATATTTCATATTTGCTCAAGTATAATACGCAATCTTTTCTCGCGAAGTCAATTCGTACGAACGAAGTATTGAAACTTATCGTCTTTCTCTCTTCGGAATCCTGATGAAATATGCGGATATACCGCGAGGTTGCGAATCCTCGCGGAATAATATCGTGACGTTTCGCGACTTGCGATTTGATTGGCACGAGCTTACGCAAAGCGTCTACAATGACGATAACAGCTCTTGCTCATAGGACTTGTAAATATTCCATAACCCTATTTACGCGATCGTGTTAGTCGAAAATACTTCGAATGCAGAACACGAAAATCAATACGATAATGCCTCTGGCGTCCGACGCGGCTGTATAACGCGAATGTATAAATCGGCGGGTTGCGAGGCAAATAACGGAAGAATTAAACAACGAGAACGCAGTTTTTTCCCTAAAGAACCGAAGGTGGGAAATTCGTCAAAAATTGCGCTTACATCCCGACGTTGAGTTGACTATATGCGAATATGTTGAGGGAAACCGCTTGGTCGAACGAAACTCATAGTCGTCCACGCTCGAACAGATATCGGGTTCGTTGAATAATTCAAAATTTGTCAAATAGGTCACGCGACATAACGCTAAATTTTCCCCTAGTGGAATCGGTAATCATGAAGTCGTTAAATCAATTAGTGACTCGTTTCCTTTGATTGTGTAATTTTGTCAATCGCCCTTATATTCGTCCATCACAGAAAAGCGCGTCCGCGCTTTTTCGCTCGTCCGAGTGAGGAGAAATGAGGAACGCCGTTTGAACGTTACGCGATTCTGGAAAAACGTTGCACGCGTTACACGCGCTGAAAGCGGCAAAATGTGACGACGATAAAAATTAATAATTCATACGGCGCGCTTTGAAAGCAAGAAGTGTCGTTAAAAAAGGGAAAAGAGGAAAACTTTCCGACGTAGGGATGCAACGCGCGAATACAAGCATTTCCCAGCACCTATGCGCACTCGCGGGTAGCCGCTTTTGTTATTTTCCTCTGGTTATCGCGGAGAAACTCTTCATCGTGCGTCTGTGAAAAGGTAACCGTGTGATCGGGGCCTTTTCGCATCGTTTGCGATCCTTTCGCGAAAGAAAAAAGAATTTCGAATCCGACCTCAATCGCGAGGGGATAACAACTCAAGTGCATTATTCGATACCTCCGACATACCAACCTCGTACGTAACCTCAAGATCGATGCTCAAAAACTGGGTCGTCGTGAATTTCGTTTTTTATTCTCCCCCGAACAGAAGGAATCGAGTTGTCCGTGGCGGAAGAGTTAGATAGGGATCAACGAGCTCCGCATTTTGTTCTGTATGAAACACTGCTGATTCACGCTCGCAATCCTTCGGCATGAAATCTGATCGAGACAGGGTTGGCCACCCCGTTCGGATCGCGCAGCTCTTGAACGTGGATACAGAGTACTGAGTATATAGGGCATGATAATGCCTATCGGGGCACAATCCTACGTCCAGGAGCACTGTGAGTCGCGAACACAATCGATTCGGCAATCGCGGACGCAATCGCCGATTCGATCGCCGGCCTTCGTTCCGTTAGTCATTCCTGTACCGTTGGAAGTGAATCGAGATTTAAACGCTTCTCCGTAGCGGCGTTATCCCTTTCGATTCAGAAACAGTCGGAACGGCTTCAATTTCGTCGGGATTGAAAAACAAAAGTCGAAGATGAGCGAATGCGAAATGAACGTTGGACCGTTTCTTGGAAGGATGTTATAAACATATATTTAAATAACATTATAATCAAATATTCACGTTGTTGCTTCTTTTTTTATATTAAATATTACAAAACTTGCAAAGAGTTTGCAGTTTACCGAATCGTCGATGATTTCATTGGCTCGAAAAATAAGCTACTTTACACGGAAAAAACATTACTATGAATTCAAAATTGATATTCCCATGTATAAACAACAGTATATAATCTTATATAGAAGATAAATCTTGTTTACGTGAAGAAATTTTATATAGTTCCACTAAAAAAATATATTCTTGTTACATAATATAATATAGTAACAAAGAAAGATTTTTAATGGAACTGTATAGAATTTTTTCATGCAAGTTTCGCCTTCACATAAAACTATATATTCTTGCTTACATATGCGAATATGAGTCTTAAATTGATACTAATTTTTTTTCTGTGTATAAACATGGAATTAGACAATTATTTGAAAGATGACAGGAAATGGTGAATAACTGATATCAGATATTTTGTTTGAATAAGACACACGTATTGTTTCGTTACTATTAATAAAAGAAATATGGCTACAAATCCATTTTGCAAATCATTGCTAAATATTGAGTCATCTGGTCAAATACACAGTAGAAAATGAAACCATGTCGATTTTTGGTTAGAGTCTTTTTACAAAAATCATGAGACAGTTCAATCTGGCATTATGCCGGACGTAATCCGAAATGCAAATCACGCACGATATCTCTCCAGTGAAAAACGTGAAATTTCTTCAATCGCGATCGTGCCACGACGGATCCTGCGATACAGATCCAAAAGCCTTCCCTTCAACCGTACGCTGGAATTATCCACAACAGCGCTCCCTTAAACTCTACATCGAACATGCACGTTTACCCCGACTTTTTCCAAAAAAAACATCTATCAGCGATAATACATTGTTCTCACGTGCGACCGTACCGTTGTGTTCCACTTGCAGAAAATCGAGAAACCGTTTCTGGATGCGGTGGAACGTACGCTGGACGACCGATACTCGGAGAACGTGGAGAACATTTACAAGTTGACTATCAAGTTCATCATCGAGACGCTGATTGACGGCTTCGATAAGGCACAGAGCGACAAAGCCAAGTCCTAGTCGTCCTAGTCCCGAGGATCCGGCACGCACGCGATCGCCCTCGATCCTGCGAGACGTTGACCGCTCTCCCCGGCTTCGCTCGGCCCCCCGATGCCTGGAAAAAGAAAGGAAAGAAGAAAGGACGAGAAACGGGAAAAAGCCAGCCGCCGATTCGCGAAGACGACGAAGGGATAATCGTCGTCCTCGATCCCGTGGATCCTCGAGAAGCGCGCGAACACGCACGCGAGCGTGCGCGTCTCACATGTGTCACCGTGTGTACGCGCGTCCGACGTTCGCTGGCCTGAGCTCTTCTTTCGCCCCCTCAAGAGGGGGTCACACCGTTTCAAACGACTCCGGATATTAATAACGGCCCCGTCGAGTCGCAGTCCTCAAGGACTTCCTTACGAAAACGCGCCGAAACGCGAAACCAAACGAACCGTGTGCGCGACTCTCTCGTCGACGGTCGAAGGGTCCTCGACGATCGCTGGAACTGATGATTCCTTTTCAGCCGATTAAATTTTTACGACACCACGTATACGCAAAGCATGATTTCCATCCGGACTAAGGCGGGAAAGTCTAAAGAGAGATGTGTAAAGACGTCGACGGGATATTCAGGTACCGGGACGTCTTTTAGGCGTCCTCGCGACGTCGTTCTTAGCTATAAGATTTACGAGGTCCGTGTGCGTTTACCTATAATGATGAAAATGCAACGGGATTGACGCGAGACATACGCAGGTACGAAGCCCTTGAAATTATTACCTCGATTTACGTCAAGATTATTGTCCCTGAGGAAAAATGGATCGAATAAAAGTTTCGTGCTTTCAAAATATCTCGCAGTGCCCACTTTCTGATGACTTCGCTTTAATACTTTTATACTTACGCAGGCTGACGAGGGAATATATTTATGTGAAAAGAGAAAGATATGTTTCCATTAAAGAAAAGGAAGAAAAACAAAGTTCGCTCTTGAATCTCTGAAACGCCTTCATCTGAAAAATTTCGTTCGATCCATCTTATACCCTCTTTGAAACCGCGAAATTTTTACTCAATTCATTTTTCTCCAGAGATAATAATATATTGACGTAAATCAAAGTAACAATTTCAAGTGCCTGGGTGTGTTCAGCTTCTCACACTTATAACATCAGAAATCGGACTTGACCGCCGGATAAAGCGATTTGAATCCCTCTTTTTATATAATTGATTGACGATCGTTTTCGTAAATGTCGATTAATTCTGATCGGAGTCCGACAGGTTCTTCGTATCCTTCTGACGTTAGTTTCGGGAGGCAGCGAGAAGCGCGTTAAGCTGAGGTTAAAGTTTACCGGTGACGATGAGAAGCGATCCTTAAGCGCTGTAATTTCAAGTTTATCCGGAATCTAGCGAGCGTAATCGATTGGGATTTTACGGCGACGACGCCGAAGTACCCATAGGGAAAGTTTACACGAGAGTAATCGCAGTCGTACGCTTCAGGGCCTCGCTGTTTGGCGATTTATACGTTGTACTTTTTGTGAAATATTGCCCGTGAGTGGACAAACTAAATACCGATTCGTCGAGACATCCGTCGAGTCGCATGCTTCCGTGAGTTTATTTGATTTCCGCCGTGCGCCGTCGAGAAAAGATACCTCAACTCGTTTCTTACTTACTTTTATCGCTCTTTTGTTCCTTTGGCGAAAGTTCACGTTACATCCCGCATGGTTCCGCAAACATACACGATACAATGGAAATACGCCGGAGACTCGAGGTGGAAAATGTTGTCATTAAAATTTATTTCATTCTCTTGGAAGAGAGAGAGAAACGTTTCTCCAAGGATCTGAGTTTAATAGAAACCTATGATTTTCTTCATACCACGCGTATCGTAGAATCTTATCGGATATCCACTGGTTTCCGGTTAAGAAGACAATATACTTAACGGAAATAGAGCGAAAAGTGATGCACGTCGTTATTGATCACGTAAGGCTATAAGGGGTAAGAAATTGAGAGAAAGTGAGGAAAGCCTCTCGTCTCCCCACGAGAGATCGATTTTTTAAAGATCATATAGACGTAATTTCAGTCAACGTTACGATCGCCGTGAGGAGTCGGATAAGCCGAGAGATGAAGGTCCTTATTACGATACCGCCATTACGAGCCGAGCGAGAAATTCGCCCAACCCTCGATGTTCGCCGTGGGGCCGGTTTTAAAGGCCTATTAAAAGACGCAAGAACTCTATCACAAGTCTTCACGGGTATTATAAAATCCAGCTGATGTGTACGGGTAACGATGACTCCTCTCGACGCGTTCATCGCGAGAGTATCGCGCGATTTCCGCCATTTCGTTAATTACAACTTTGACGAAGTTAAAACGCGAAAAAGGCGCTGTGTTCTCAGCCCTGCCGGTTTTTCCGCGTGTTTTTCACGTCATAAGAGACTTTTACGGATAACGATTTTTCATTTTGCTAATTACATTAATTCGCTTTTACTCGCGTCGAGTGGTAATTACTCCCACGCCCTTGCGATGTTCTATAAATTAATCGAGTAAAAAGTTCGCACTCTCGCGCGTACCGCGAACAGATTCGCGCATAAATGGAAACTGAAACATTTGTCCTCATTTGTACAGAACGCGTGAAATGTATCAATAATTACTCAATTATAGGTTTATAATGGTGAAGGGGAGAACGATAAAGGTAGAAGCGTTATACTGGAGAAGTGAACGGATGTAAAACGCATCGAGCAAAAACAACGCGAGTAACCGTGAATTAATGACAGTGTAAAAATTACTTCGAACTATCCGATTGTTTTTCGCGGACTGAAGTCTCTCGGATCTGTTTTGATAATTGCAACTTGCAATTTGTTTCATATGAGATGCTCATATTCAAGTTTCGAATTAGATGTGAACTCTTCAATTGAATCACGATCACAAATATATCACGCACGTCAAACACATACGATTCAATGGAAAATCTTAGATCTAACTCTAAATTCCGATTTGAGCATCTCACGTAGAACACTTTTCGAATAACATTCAACCTTATATTTAAGATCAGACTGTGGATACCGTTCTCTTTCATACTTTATCAAATGGGAGCCCGATGCTCTGCCATTAAGTATATGCATGTAATCAATACATCGTGCAAATTGACAGTCGCCGTCGTAGATGTCACGCACTCAACGCACGTTCGATCCTCACCGAACGACGGGAGCGGATATCACAAAGTACCAAGTCCGTGTCAGTCGCGATTTTAATAATATTACCAAGATTTCCAGATATCATGTTCATGCCGGTGGCGGTTTACAGACATTGGCCAATTTTAGATCCGACGACTTTAGTGCCGATTTTTCACGGCCGCGTGCTTTCTATCTTTCAAAATGCGCTCGATATAATCGATAGGAGAAAAAAATTAATATGCGGCGGGCGGTCGATCGATCGGCGCCGTCTGGCGCCTTTGATCGCCGGCACTTTTGGATTACACATAAGTCACGCAGGACGCGAGGCTGAATGCGGCGGAATGCAAATGCGCGCATTGTCGTGAAACGGGGTCGCGCGAGATTTAATCGCGAGAACAGCGTGGATTTAAACGTGTACGAGAGGCGCGTCGCCTCGCCCTTCATACGAGTTACCGCCTAGCTGTTTGGAACTATGGCGGTTCTTACGCCCCATATAAAAATTCCAAGAAAGAAAGAGAAAATAGAAAGAGATACTCGTTGTCCTCATCGCGATTCGGAAAATTCGTTTTCGAAAATTTCACACGAAAGCGTGAATATGTAGACACGCGTTTCGACTCGGATTGACCACACGTACAGTACAGCGATTGACATTTTAATCAAACGACCGTGGAGCTTGACGTTTCGTGTTATTTTGTGTTGTTGCAACGCGTAAACTGCCGTGGTGGTTATCATTGGTCGCGGCGATACGACACTAAAATGTCCTGTTAATTTACGTAAAAAATATAATCGGATATGTTTGCAGAGTTACACGCACCGGCGATGAAAAGTTGTTTAAACAAAATGACAAATGTATAATCGTCAAAAATTATAATTGAGGCTGTTCTCTTGCTCTCGACGTGATTTTTTTATTTTGCAAGAATGATGTAAATTTAATTAACACATTGAAATGCCACGGTAATCACCGGTGGCCAGCATTATGATGCTACCGCGTCTCATCAAGTTATATATAATTAATTGTATTTAAAAGTTTGCTCATGTATGAAGAACTGATAAAACGCGAGTTAAAAGATTTATAAATTTCGAATTACGTTGATTTATCGTATCTTGATTAATTTTAATCATCGGTTCCAGCTTTTGTACAATCGACGGGTATCGATACAAAATCAAAATATTAAAATGATAACAGAGATGATTTTTTGCAGAGATTTACTGATAATGTGTGGCAAGTGGCGCGTATTGTTTATAGAAATATTCTTGATCCGAAATATTTTTAAAGGAAAGAAAGAGAGAAAAAAGAGAAAGATAATTACGAACTTATATACTGAGAAAAAAATTTCTTCAAATTTAATAAATTTTGCATCCAAACAAATTTCATCATTAGCATACTCCAAAGAAACTAATGTTTCGATTAAGTACGATTGTTAGACTTTTCAACGAATATGTATCTTTATCTTAAATAAAAAATTTGTTTGAAACGTAAGATAATTTTCTTATAAAGAAATTATTTGTTTCATTTTACATATTTATTGTAACCAATATTTTATCTGGTTAAAAAATATTATTTCAAATAATAGCGTTATTCTGTTAAATAATAGAGTTTTCTTGAATGAGACAATACAATTTTCATTTAAACAAATAATATTTTGTACATGTTGTTTTAGTGAAACAAATTTTAGAGAATTCAAATAAATAGAAATACTAAATTTAAAGGAACCTTTTTCTCTGTGTACTATTTATAGCGAAGATTATTCTAGGATATTTCACGGGGACATCGCGTCTCGTCGTCGATGAACATTTCCTTTTTTTTCTTTTTTTTTCCAATTGCGCGAAGCTTTGCGAGCGAAAGACGGTTGATTGAAGGTGCAATGCTATTATCCGAGAATTTTACGTGATCAACCGTGAAATACATATCGCATTGTCTATAAGTGCATTCGCGAGCTATTCCCGGGGTCTCTCCATCTCTTCGTTTCTCTCGTCGCGAAGCGACGATGCATTAATGTGAAAGCATGGAACGGTACCATATCGCTCGCTCGCTCGCTCACTCGTTCATTCGTTCGCTATTCCGAGATCGATCGGAGGAACGATGGACGCATGAATGCAGGGAAGCGAATGGAAATTATTGATACACCGCGGATCGATCACCGGTTTTTCGACGTCTGACCGAACAACAGCAAAATCCTTTTTAAGTCTCCGGCGATTTCTCCGCGCCTCGACTTCCCGTCTCTACATCTCGTTGCGATCGCGAAACGGTCGATATATAACTTAGCCTCATCGTAACCATTTATGTTTTCCGCTACTCGATTTTTAATTCGCGGCTCGTTTCGAAAAGAATTCCCCCGCCTGGCACAACTTTACGCCACGAAGAGATTATCTCTCACTTTACACTTTGTACTTTGCGACATCCGCCAACTTTTGTTTATAGCGGAGTTATATTTGTAACAGAGTTAGTTTAAAGTGGAAAGCCACGAAGTTTCGTGCGATTTTCGAACAGCGTAGGTTGGGTCGTTCTCCGGGCAGACTCGACCTAATTTCGATTCTTCGTGACGTCATGGAAAGTGAGGGAAATGGCAGGCAAAACCCTTCGACCATCGACAAGAGGGAGAAAGAAAGAGAGAGAGAGAGAGAGAGAGAAAAAGAGAGATTGTATAAATTTTTACTCGTACCGTAAGGTAAGAATAAGTGTGGATTCTAGGGTAACTGGCCCTTCACGCAATGTCAATTTCCTAGGAGGTTTCGGGAAGGCACAGAAGGCCTCTCTCCGTCTCTGTATCTTCCTCGCTGTCTTTATCTATCTCATTTTCTCTCTGAGGCCGATTCGCGTCGCTCGCATATACCCACGTGAGGTCCGACGAGTCGTTATAATAGCCTTTTGAAAGGGCCATAATACGGACGACCACGTACAAACATGTGACTCGCGAGAGAGCATTTTCCGAAGGAAGCAAACACGCGGCGCACATCGCGGTTCCTCGTTGCACGTATGACTCCTCGTCTCTTTTCTCTTAGGTATCTATCGGTGAAATTAATTACCGCCACCCGATGCGGCAGGGAAAAAGAAAGGAAGTGAGAGAAGAGTAGCGGCGTCCAAATTCCGTTAAAGGGAAAACAAGAGAAGAGGAGAAGCGAACGATCCACTTGAACGAAAAAGAATCGATGTTATCTAAAGTGATTATCTCGTGAATTAAATTTCTTATAAACTCGCAGTAACTTAGATTGCACATTAATCCAAATATTATCTGACCGTTTGCGAAATTAGAAAAAAATTAATTGTTCAGAAATTGAGATATTTGCAACTAAAATTGACGTTTCTAATATTTGTTTCCTCACAACACACTGAGTTAGTATTTTATTTTTAACTTTCACTTCCAAATTGCATTTAGAAGATTTTTTTTTTAAACTTGCTGTAACACTGAAGACCAATATATGGACATTATGCAAAAAATCAGAATTATAAACCACTTAGTTACGAAATTATTGTCCTAAGAGGTCGTAATTTATAATAATGTTTCAGATACAAAATTGTTATCCGATACGATTCTAACGCGAATAAATTGGGAGGGAGAAACAGGCATTGACAGATGCGCATTGAAATGAGTAATTTTTATATGTGTGTGCGTAATAGAGAGATAAACTTGACCAAAAGTTTGCAGAATAAAGAAGATTACTTTAATTAAAAATAATAGAAAATTAATTCTGATTTTTTAAATATAACTAAACTTTTCCGAATTTTTCATTATGTCTTTGAGTGGCAAGACTTTTCGAATAAAATGTGTTACTGGGGTTAGGAAACAAGTGTTTCGATTTCCAAAAAATTTAGTGTATAAGGATATACAGTAAAATTTGACACCAAAAGGCGTCAATGTCGCTTAATAGGTTAAACAATTATTAATATGATGCATTTTTAAATATGTTGTCATATACCTCATTTAAATTATTCGACTTTTTTTTCTATCATATGACTTCGATAGTATTATTGCGAGATAACCATTTTAACTATACGTTCAAGTCATTTCGTCATATCGAGGAATATCATTTCTACGCCACTAACTGCTGTCGCGATCTAAATCGCGTATTAAAATAGCGACGCGTTTACCCTTCGCGTACTATTGGAGATTCTGGGATATTTAAAAACGATCACAAAAACGATCACAAACGAGTCACCCAGTAGAAAGAGACTGACTTACAATCGTCTCCGATATCGGAGCAACATGCCTCGAACGCGTTTGGAAACTTGCTCGCAGACTTGGTATCGTGCGAAAGATAGGAAACTAAGAATAACGTCCTACTTGTAGGAAAAAAGGGTTTCACCTCGGTTCCTTTCTTCCCCCTGATCGTTAATATCGCGCGACGTCAAAGACAGATCTCGTGGGTGAGGAAGAAACGACGATAAAAATCGTTAGTAATAAAAAAATAATCCTTTTCTCGGCCACGGCGGAGTTCTCACAGCAGTTAACGATTTGCTCTTTCTGCTTTTCCCTTAGAGCGAGCGACGATGTATTGCGGCTCACGCTATCAGTCATTAACTTCGTTAACTAAGCCAACCACGAATAATTGAACTAAAACATCGTTCGTACGCAGAGGAGGCGAGGAACTTCATTCGTGCGCGAGACGATGAACAATGCAAATAACGCGAGCGCTCTGCGCGAAATCGATTTCCCGAGGAAAACGCGACGCGACAATGTCCATATGTCGTGTATATTGTGTTTTATTATGTTACTTACGGCTCTCGATATTAGCGACATTGCCGCGTGCCGTACACGAAACGCGTTGTCGTAAACGCATTCTTCAACGGCGAGTTTTTGCAGTAACGCACTTAGAATACGTCGAACGAGCCGTACAGCCGTGCTCATTCCAGCACAGCGAAACAATAACGCCAATTTTCATCTCGGCTTAACGTCGTTGTTCGCTCGACACTCCACGCAACGTTAGCGCTTAACGCGCTCGCGACACGCTATCGCGGGAAATATGCAGGTACGCAACGGGGTCTCTCGGCGATGCGATCCGCGTCGTGCGGTCGTTTCCCGCTCACCGGGAACGGCGAATATGTTCCCTCAGAGAGAAAGAGTGCGTGTTCAATAGGCGAAAAACAGGGGATATAAGTAAAATCGCGCGCGGACGCGCGCGTGCGCGCACGATGCGCGATCCTCGTTGCAGAAGCGAGCGAGAAGGAAAAAAAAGAGTGCATTTGTAAAAAGTAAGAATAGGAGAAAAGAAACCAAAATCGCGACTGACTATGCGAGCGAGCGTACATGCGCGCGCGCGCGCGCGAGGTGTGAGTGCACCCTTACTCAACCGAGACTAAAAATCGATCGACAAATTAGATAAGGTAATAGCGCCTTCGCAGTTCGCGACATTCCATCGCTGACGAGAAACTCGCGCGAACTTCCATCTGCGATTATTCGACATCGAGAAGAAATTTTCCGGGATGAACGAAATCTTGACGGAGGATTTCTAATCTTGTCTGAATTAATTAAATCGGCTGCAGGATTGGTACGACTGGTTTATCCAGTCGATTCGATAATATACGATTATCGGAGCGTTCGCTTCGATAAATTCTGCTCTTGCTTCAACGTATGACTATTTTAATTAACTGGGTTTCTTTATGTTAACATAGGATATTTTAATACAGTACAATGTTTTATGATACAGTTTCTCACGCGTTTTGTTAGCACAAGAGAACTCTTCCTCTTCGGTATCGATCTTTTCCTCTTGCTCATCACTGATCAATGACTGCTTATCGTTAAATAACCGCTGGATTTACATGCATTTACGATGAAATAACGCGATTGTATTTTTAGGTGAAAATGCAAAACGTTAGCACTGATAATTAATTGTCCTATCGAATATTCGTTATTATATTGGAAAATATCGAATATAAAGGACAAATTTTCGTTTTTGTCGTGCAAACTGCAATCGGGTCAAATGGAGTGAAAATCGAGTTAGATCAACAATTTTGATGTGAGAATTCAAACTACAAAATTGAGTCAGCAGTAAGAGATTAACGAAATTAAAAAGTTAATGAAACTGTACAATCTTAAAATTGAGTTCGTTACACGTATTTCGATTTCGAACGAATCGTTTCGATGGATCCTTTTCTGAAGGATATATATACGATGGAGTGAACGTACTGTTGACTAAACGAAACAACGCAATAACGAAGTTAAGAATTGATATGCGATGACACGTGAAATATAAACCCGTGCGACGAAGAACATTATTCTCGCTCGATGAAAGGATCGCAATGTTATTTTATAAGCGGTCATTTAGCGGTGCGTTTGTCCCATTGTTGATTT